TATCAAAATGTATTTGCAAGGCAAAAACTACAGTTACCTTCATGAATCCACAGTGGGGGACTGGCACACAAAATTACCACCTCATCCACGTGAAATGACTGTCTGCTGACTCAGGCTACGGATTTGAATTGGGAAGCAAAGCCTTGAATGAAACAGAACAGGCCTGGGATGCACCCCACGTCCTACTACTCTGCACAAAACGGGGTGTCAGGCCCTGGAAGGCACACGCCTACTGAGCCAACTGAGAAACTACAAGTTATTTCAGACGAACAACTTGCAAATCCTCAGCTCCCATTCCCTTCTTTCCAATCCCCTCCCCAAAATGCTGACCCAAGCAGCAGGGCCCCGGGAAAGCATCCAAGAGATCCCCACGCAGACTAACCAACCACCACGCTGGCCCTGGGAAATTATTAGAGAAATCATAAAATTAACTTTGTGGTTACTTCTTTATGAGCTGCTTTAAACTGATCCAGAAAAGCTGCACGCACGTGGCTTTTGGATAACCCGCTCAGGATACAGCTCTGGAGGGGAATTTATAGCACCCTGCTCAGTTTTAAAATTCACTTTATTTCCTCCCAGAAGAGGCAAACGCAACAGATGTCTTCCTGAACACTTGGAGAAGAACAATTTTCTTCCTTCACACCAGTACAAGGGTGTCCACCGCAGCCTCCCTTCAGTGGCATTCAGCTGGGGTCACAGCCCTGCCAGCCAACATCACATTAATGCCACAGGGAAGGAAATGCCACTTTTTAAAAAAGCAACACACACGGGTGACAAAGCAGAGCACTGGATCCTGATAACCCCATGCCACGAAATTTAAAGGCTAGAGATGTTTCTTCCAAGTCCGTGAAAAGCAATTAAGTTATATCCGGTTGTAGCTGACAACAGATTTTACAGCAGCTGAGTTTATAACCCACGATCTCGCTCTCTGCGTACATTTTAACTTTAAGAAAAAAAAAAAAAGGGCAAAACCCAAACAGCAAGTTCCTTGTAGCTCAGCTCTAATAGGAAGTGGCTCAATTTACAAACACCAAAAGCATCGCAAGGCGTATCCTGCGGTTTGGGTTGATTGGTGGGTCAAAGGCTTATTGATGGCTCTGGCAGCAGGATCTGCCTTACTGCTTAGGAGGGAAGACTTAAAGTGGCCCAGTTTAATGCAGCCATTTACTTCCCTAAGGAAAACAAGCAGCTTCATTCTGTCAGCCGCTCTGCATCCCTGCAGCCACCCCTCGGTGGACAAGTGCTTCTAATATTTTGTCCTTTTTCAAAGGGGATAAAAACAGACTGGTTTTATCTCTCAGGACAGCACGAGGTGGAGCTGTGACCCCTGGGCTGTTGCCATGAAGGGGTCCTAAATCCAAATCCGGAAACCTGTTCCAAAAGTGAAAAGGTGCCGAAGGTATTTGAGAAAAATTAAAAACTCGGCCACTTTCCAGCACACAAATATCTCTCCTGAAAATGATCCTCCTTCCACCACTACTCCCTGCGGACAGCTCATGGCATAGGTTCACTTACACTGCAAACACAGACAGGGAAGGACAAACAAGGGAAAACAATCGTGGCATAAAAGCAAACAATTAGGAAGCAATTAAGACCGGACATCACAGCGCTGTAGTAAACACAACTTTCACACTGAACAATGCCTTTCTTCCTATGCTTTTGTGTTTTGTTTTTTCCATTCCAAATCTGAGAAATTCCATTCTATCTGAGAAGGCAGTATCTAAGAACATATAAAAGTGATTTTATGGGAACTCATTCCCCTGTGCAGAGCCCTTTCCTGGTTCTTACAGTAGTATTACACTCGTGAAGCTAAAAGTGAAGCACACCAGTGCATTAAAACACAGGGACATAAATATCTGCATGTCTGCTCTATTTCCCAGACAACTCAGCAGCAGCTCAGCATCTCGGGAAGCTGGGGAAGGGATAAAAACAAACAACCCTGACACTCTCCAAGAGCAGGAGCAGCCTGGAGAATCGGGAAGGCCACACTGCTTGTCAGTCTGGAAACAAACATATCAGCTCAAATTTTGGTATTATTCTGCAAGAGATGTAAGGGGGGGAAAAATAGTAATGGCTCACTGTACCTCCTGCAACAACTACTCAAAAAACCCTCATTTTTAAAAAAAACTGTGCTGGAATCTTCTGAGAGGGATTCACTTACATAGAGATGGATTTTTAAAATTTTTTTTAAAAGACAACTTCAATAATAAAACTGAATCTCTTCCTTTCATAAAAAATTGGTTTCCATCTAGCTTCTTTTTTATGTAAGTTTTGCCAGCAGAGGATAACACAAGCATGTCACCATATGGCACGCCCACCAGAACTATCTTTAATTTTTTTCCTTGGAGATGTAAGCTAAAGTACCTGCAACTATGCTGTAATTTCCTTTTAGAGAGAACTTACCAAGCAGAGTTTTTCTGGAACTGAAGATATTTTCTAGCCCAGCTCCCATTTTTAAACCCTTTCTAAAGATTCGGGACAACCTTATTCAGCCACTGGAGGGGTTTATAAAGTCTTTTCAGAAAGGAAGAAGCGGATCTGAGAGAGAAAACAGCGGTGCTGAAAATAACAATTGCTGTCAAAACCGGGTTGTATTAATTCAGTGCCTCGCCTCACAAGACAGTCTTTTTATAATGTTCCCCATAACGAGGGAAGACAATGGTTGCCCTTGATTTTCTTTCCCCCCCATGTAGCTCTATCTGTCACCGGCCATAGCAACAGGGAAGAATGGCCCCGGATTTGCCAGCGGACAAGGCCCGCGCGAGGGGGGCCCCCGGCACCCTGTGTTATCCCGGCACAATCGCCCTGTTATTTGACAACCAGCGAGTCTGCGGGAGAACACGGCTCTTGGCATCGTGCTGAGTGTCAGACTGACAAGCTCCAGCCAAGCTCCCGGTGACAAACCTGCGCGGCAGGTTGGGAAAACCTCCCCAGTCTCAGCGTGTCTTTGCTGCGAGTTCCAAACCGTGAGTCAGCTCACAAAAGGACAGCAGTGCCACTGACACAGAGAAGACACCCCTGGCACCGCCACACCGCGAAAACCCTCCGAGAAAAAGTACCGTGAAAAAAACTATGTTACAAGTACTGTGAATGTGGAAGGTGGGGGGGGGGAGAGGGGGTTGCAGTTCAAAATGCAAGTTTGCAGTGCTAAGCCTGCAGAAAGTGTACGGATATCCCATCACTATCTTGGAATAACTCTTTGCCAAACTTGAATTTTAACTTGATAAGGTGATGCTAACTTGCTGCATACTGGAAAAAAACCCAACCAAACAAAAGAAGCGTAACTCCCTGGCAGTAACACAGAAAGTTTCCCTGGTCTCCCTGAGGCCTACTGGGCATATCTTCGATTTATTTAAAAAAAAAAAAAAAATCCATTTCTATACTGCAGATGAGCAAATTAGGTGCCGTCTACAGCGCTCTGCCGACAGCAGCTGAGGCAGCTTTGCCAACACGTCTAGCTTTGCCGTGCAGCAACTCCAGTTTCCATTTCTATATTTCATCCAGAAGGATCACTCGAAACAATGGAGGTGAGGGTAAAGGTTTGCTTTCCTAGGTTTCAGAAGGGTCTGGAAAAAGAAACAAGCATCTCATTATTGCCTGTGACAGAGGGTGGAGGGTTTCGTGCTTTTCCATTCCCAGTTAGCCAAATGCCACGGAGAGGGAGGCTCTCTAATTTGCAAACCAGACTCCCAGGACGCTCGAAATCCTGTCCCCCCTTCCCCACCGCGGCAGCTGAGAATTATGAAGGAGGGGGACAGCTGGGCTTCTCATTAGGAGCACAACGCCTAAATCCATGGACAATCATCTGTACCCACCTCCCGTTCACAGCTGAGAGGTGTCTTTCAAAACCTCTCTGGGGGTACGGAGCGTGTTTGGTGCGGCAGAGTCGAAAGACAAATGCAAGGCAGGGATTGAGGAGGAAGCCGGCGCCGGGGTTATTGGTCTCCATGAGAACACAACTCACTAGAACGCTCCAGCTCGGAGATAAAGTCTCCTCTGTAAAAGCAGGCTATGTTTACATCTGCCGGTTATCAGTGTAAGCCTCTAACAACTGCCAGATATTACGGACACGGTCCCACTAACTGCTCGCACGGAACTGGGAACACTCAGCGGGGCCAAGGCCTTAATGGAGCTGGGCTCTGCCAGGGCGCCTTTTGCAGCTGCCTGGGTCTCCCTTCTTTCCCTAGAGCAGCATCTCCGCCTTAATTAATAGGTCACTGAACCGGTTTATGTTAATTGTCACAAGTACCTCGTCTTTGTTCCCAAGGGGAGGGACCAAAGTTCATTCGGTTGCTGCCCACGAAGCAAAATTGCCAACTGTGGGGCTCCGTGCACACCTGGACTGCCACCGATTCCTCACGGAGCTTTCTGTATGCCTTAGTAAAGCTCGGCCAGGTCCTTGGCGGGGCTCAGGCCGCCGGGGAGCCCCACCTGCCCCATCACCTGCCCCGGGGATTCACTTCCACGCTCCAGCCTCCTAACTCAGCTGGGGCACGCAACGCTACCGCACCAACTTCTGCCCGCCGGGAAGGAGGAAAGCATTACGAAAACACCATAGAAGCCGGGGGAGACCCTTCGAGTAGGCGTTCTACCCTGACCCCGCTCTCGCCTGCCCAGCACGGCGCTCACCGGGGAGGTGCCCCGTCTGATCCGCGGACGGTCCCGAACTCGTGTCCGCGCAGGAGGGGAAGCCGTGCGGGAAGGGGAAGCCCGGCTCGCCCGCCCTCCAAACGCCCTCGCGGCGCGGCGGCGGCCGCATCCCCCCCACTCCGCTCCCCGCCGGCTGAGGGGAGCGGCTGCTGCCGGGGCCCCCCGGGGGACCGGGGCACAAAGGGAGAGAGCGGCGAGCGGGGCCGCCAGGCCGGCAGGGAGCGGCGGACAGAGGGGCGGGCGGCGGCCGCGTCCTCTCGCTGGGCTGCCCTGCCCTGCCCAGCCCGGCAGCACGGGGCAGAGGGAAGAGGAAAGGACCCCCCACACACACACTCCCCGCAGGTACTCACAACAAGAAGCTCATGGCGATGGCGGCGGAGCGGGACCGGCGGCTGCCTGGGCTCGGCGCGGCTCGGCTCCCAATGGCAGCGCGGGGCGGGCGGGTGCGGGCAGAGCGCCGCGGGGCGGGGACACGGCCCGCCCGGCCGCCATCGCCCCCAGCGGCCCCCGCGCCGCCGCCTCCCTCACAGCTGCGGCCGTGCGGCTCGCGCTTCGCCCGCCTCCCTCACGGCCCCCGGGGCTGCCCCTCAGGCGTCCCCTCGTGTCCCCGGGCACGGCGATCCCCCTCAGGCGTCCCCTCGTCTCCCCGGGCACGGCGATCCCCCTCAGGCCTCCCCTCGTGTCCCCGGGCACGGCGATCCCCCTCGGGCGGCCCCTCTTGGCCCCGGGTAGGGCGATCCCCCTCCGGCATCCCCTCAGGGCGATGCCGCCCCCTCAGAGACGCCCATGTGTGCCCTCCCGGGCGATTCCCTGGAAACGGGGACCCCCTGCCCCTCCGCAGCCGCCCTTCTCCTCAGAGACCGCCGTGTGTCCCCCTCTCAGACATTTCCCTGGAAAGGGGCACGCCATGAACCTCCGGAGCCCCCCTCGTCCCCTCAGGCACTCCCCCTCTGCCCTCAGGACAAAGCGGTCCGGGTACCAGCCCACAGGTCACCATCACGGTCAGAAAAACAAGGGGAAGGTCTTAAACCAGCGTCTCTGCTCCCATCACGCAACCTTTTTTTTTAAAAAGAAACTTGTCAAAATGCATTCTGATATTTCTAATACGTGATCTGTGAGCAATTAGTAACTGGGCTGGTGCGGGTGAGCAGTCAGCTAAGGCAGGCCACACCTCAGAGGTGACGTTATGGGCAGCTGCAAACTGCTGAGGTAAAAAAAGTCCAGTTTTTCTAAGAAAACCTTGCCAGGCAGATTTAATCACATCCCAGTGCTTTTTATGGCAGAAATTACAATCCCAGGGTGTAATTTCACGCAAGAACGTGCCTCTGTTTAGCTCCGTAAGAAGACGGATTTTGGAGAGGGCACAGGACAGGCAACACGACCCCCCGAGATTCTCTCCTGTCCCAAGGGGATTCAGCAACCCCAAGAACCTCACACTGCTGCAGGTAGGCCAGAGGAAAACCTGATGACTTTAAGATTTATCAGACAAATTCTCTACATCAAAACAGCCTACAATCCCACAAAACAGTAAGGTTCCATATGGCACATCAGGGGTTTCAGCTATAATGCCTTACGTGGCCAAAGGGACAGTCATCTGCTTCTCTCACGTTTTTAAATGCTGAAACTGCATTTTCTACTTTCTGGCTCTGTCCTTCAGACCAAGTCAGAATGCCAGGTCAGTGCATTTCTAAGTAAATTAAAATTACACTACTGTTTTCAGGACACCTTTAAAGTCCAATGTTTTACCGGGCAGCAAAGGTATAATTAAAAAGCATTTCACGAAGCTTGCAATTTTCCTTTTGTCTGTATTAGCAAAAGCATGACATGGGTCTTGGGGCACATTTGAACAGATGCTGTCAGACTAAATCAGCCACGTAAATCAAACAAAAATACATCGCTGATCTTTCTGGCACATCACGCTGGGACACGAATAACCTGCGCTCCCCGTTCCCACCCATGCGCTTCCTTCTACCCACGGAGGGTTTTATTTTAGCGGCAAGTTAAAATTAAAAATGTTTGGTTACTGCAGTAGGAAACACTTGGCCGGGAGAGACGGTTACGTAACGAGTAGGTTTTATGTCTCACATTAATATTGGTCCGTTTGGGATGGCTGAGGGTCACATGAAGGGCTCCCTTCAGACAACCCGAGGGGCTGGCAGCGCGTGCAGGCTTACGCAAGAGTCGAACCGCTCCGCTGCTCCGGGAAAGGCACAGCCGGCGCTCCCCTGGCCCCACGTCTGTCATTTCAGTTTATCCATTATGCTGCACGGCTTAAAGAACTCCTCTGAAAGGGCCCTCCAGCTGACAAAGCGCTTCGGTCCTGAGCCGAAGTTCCCAGCTTTTCAGCACAGCTCGGTTAACACGGAGCATTCCAGCTGGAAGAAGCTCAGAAATTATAAGATGGCAAAACTTAGCATGCACGGGATAGGGGAAAAAAAGGAAACAATATTTTGTTTTGAAATGTAAAGAATACAGTATAGAAATAAATATGAATAAATTTGGAAAATGCCACAGTAGAACATAAGGTCAATCTTTCTCGACAATAAATTACACAGAGGGATAAGGAATGTTTCCCAGTATAAGATAAGCACCTGTTTTAGTATCACCTCAGAAGATGTCCATTTTCTCTCTGATCAGGCTAAAGAATAGCTGGTATTAATTATTCTCAACAACAACCTGCCTAATGTGATTCAAAAAGTATCAAAAAAGGCATCTTCCAAGGCAGAAAAATTGAAATCCTTAGTCCACAGCAGTATGGAGGCATCTGCTGAGACTTTGTATTTTTACGGAGGCAGATTCCCTCTCCTAAGCAGACTGCATTCAGCACCGGGTCTGTCAAGTGAGTAAATGCAAATTCTCTTGTCCTAGGATGACTTTTCTTTTTCTGTCATAGATGCAGAGGCTTTGATTCCTTATGTAACTAAGGAAGCTCTGAGATTCCTGGGCAACTTCAGTGCCAACAGATGCCCAACAACACAATGCCCTCTAAAGCTAACTTGCACAAACCTGACAAGCTGCCAGACGAGCATCAGTGAGTATTTTTTCCCATACTTGGGAAGCAAATCAATCAAAGGTAAAATGGGTGGAGGATGTGCATCCCTTCAAGAGACTCTGCCTTGCACCCTGCTTGGGTCACAGGAGAGGAATGTAGGTAATGTTCTCCCTTGGTCCCTGAGGTCCCTTATTCCATTAAACTGAAAACACAAAAGCCAATCTAGATACAGATAAGTGCTCAAGATGCATTCCAATAGTTACATAATTTTTTTTTCTCCTATAAATGTTTGCTTGCTTATTTAAAGAAGGTTTTGAAAAGAAACCTGACAAGTAGGCTATGAAAAACTGGAATGTGAACCACTTGAGCACCAAGGTCAGCATTCCTTTGAAAATGGGCATAATGCGTGATTTACCTTGAAAATTCAGAGGGGCTGAGAGTGCTATTGTCAAGAGGCTGTGCTATTATCAGGGTTATAGTCTGTCATGTGAAAGCTTGTTACAAGAAATGGTTTACAAAAGCAGAAGCCAGCAACAAGGAGGTGACATGAAGTAGCCTGTTCACATTTTCAAAAGGGCGATAAGAAACATTCAAGGCTTCTGATAAAAGAATGTGTTGGCAGCACAGCAAGATGAAAGACTTGTGCTGGAAAACCCAAGACTGTATTTTGAGTCTGATAGTTTGCAATGGCTTGAGATTAAAACTCTTACTTGCTGATCCTAAGGCTAAAACTACAGGATGTCAGGGGAAAAAAAGAGGAATATCTTGGCTGTCATAGCTCTCACCACCTTCCTGACACTGGGCTTCATGTGCCAGGTTGGCACCTCCTCCTTCTTTAACAACTGCTCCAATGCCTGCCTAAATACCTTGGATTGAGCCTCCAGAGCCTCCCTGGGTTCCTTCACTGTTGGGGTCTTTGTTTTTGGCTTGCATTTCCTCTTCCTGCTCATTTGGCTTCATGCTAAAAATTTTTTTCTGGGTTCAGCACGACCTACCTTCACCATGTGTGCACGTACAAGAAGCCGGTGCCGGCTCTTTCCCCCCTCATCTCTCTTAGAAGCAGCAACAACAGCAGGACTGTTTTCCCAGATCACCTGGAAGTGGAATGTTCCTTGCCAACAGGTTCAGCCACTGCTGCCTCTAAGACTGTCAAGCAGGGATGGGAGTGAGGGGGAGAAAATCAGCTCTCTTAGACAATAGCTCTCCAGGGAAGGGGTGTAAAAGCCTTGTCGCGCTGAAGCTCGATTTAAAACTTTATATTGCAAATAGGTTGTGGTTTGGGTTTTTTTCTCCTTTCTGAATTGTTTGACTAAAAAAAAAAAAAAATTAAAAGTGCTATTAGTGACAGAAATTCTAAACGGGGGTGCTGGTGGGTGAGAGGCTGGACACACCCTGGCCGTGTGCGCTGGCAGCCTGGAAAACCAACCGTGTCCTTGGCTCATCCCACTCCGTGGGCAGCAGGGAAGAGGGGGATTCTGCTCCTCTGCTCTGCCCTGGTGAGACCTCACCTGAAATGCTGCATCCAGCCCTGGGGCACCCACACAGGAAGGACATGGAGCTGTTGGAGAGAGTCCAGAGGAGGCACCGAGGTGATCAGAGGGATGGAGCAGCTCTGCTGGGAGGAAAGGCTGAGACAGCTGGGATTGTTCAGCCTGGAGAAGAGAAAGCTTTGGGGTGACCGAACTGTGGCCTTCCAGTACCTGAAGGAGCTACAAGAAAGATGGAAGAGACTATTTACAAGGGCCTGGAGTGACAGGAATGGCATCCCACTGACAGTAAGATTAGATGGGATATTGGGAAGAAATCCTTCCCTGTGAGGACGCTGAGGCCCTGGCACACGCTGCCCAGAGAAGCTACAGCTGCCCCATCCTTGGCAGTGTCCAAGTGCAGGTCGGACGGGGACAGGACGGGAGCACCCCGGTGCAGCGGAAGGTGTCCCCGGCGCGGGTGACCTGGAAGCGCTCCCGGCGCGGTTCCCGTGCGGCGCCTGCCGGGAAGGGAGGCGGCGGAGGCGGAGCCGCGATTCCCCGGCATGGCCGTGGCCGCCGCCGCTCGCCGCGGTCTGTCCGCGCTGCTGCTGGGCCGGCTCCCGGCGCTGCCGCCCGCGCTGCGCCCGCTGCCCGCCCGCCCCGGCCCCCGCATCGGCCCCGCCGCCGCCGCCGCCCGCCCGGGGCCGCTCCGCGCCGCGCTCCGCACCTACAGCCAGGTACGGCCCGCGGGAATGGCGGGCACCTACCCCCGCGGGAACCCGCGTCCTTCCGCCGCTTAACTCGGGGCGATTCTCGTGTCTCGGCCGCAGGTCACCGATGCTCCGTCCCAGGAAGGTCGCCTCTCAGAGCAGGAGCCCGACTCGCCCAAGGCGGAGAGTGACAGTGTCTACCTCGTCAGGGCACAAGGATTCCCCTTCTCGTGCACCGAGGAAGATGTGCTTACCTTCTTTGATAGTATGGGTGTTCATTTTCGCGCCTGGCTGTTCTCTGTGCTGCCTTTGAACCCAGGAGCTCGTGATTACTTAACAGAAAGAAAATTTAGAGATCGTTAGCCAGAGAAAGATGACGTTTTATTATTGCTGCAAAATTATTTGCAATTGGCACATATATAGCAAGTATTCAATTTCCAAACTGCTGGACAACGACTAGAAGCTCATCCTTATGGCATTTTATGTTTATTGGACAAGTCTTTCCCTTCTTAGTGTCTCTACAGCAAAGGCAATCCAATTCAAAGTGATGCCTTTACAGACCATTATGGCTGGCGTTATTCCCTCAACTCCCCTCTTTAAAAAACTGCAGTGTGTTTTTACTGATTAGTTTAAACTTAAGTGTTGCTTTCTGATCCTAATTCCTAATTTTGCGTACCTCTTCAGGGCTGATCCCTCCATACTGTAATATATGGCCACATCCTTCCAGAGGCCAGACCCAAGTTTTTGAGTTACTCACCTGCCAAAATAAATTCAGTCAGTTTGAGGTCAAATTCAAAGTTAGGAATAGGTGTGTTTCACTCTTTGGTTTGCACTGCTTGGGGGGGGATTAGCTCTATGCCGTGTAGTCAGGACAAAGAGACCCCCGTGTTTGATGTAGTTTGTTCCTATGTGGTCTCTGTTCCTTGATTTCCAGGCTGTAGAATTCGGAACGGTGAGAACGGGGTGCACTTCCTCTTAAACAGGGATGGGAGGCGCAGGGGGGATGCCTTGATCGAGCTGGAGTCCAAAGCAGATGTCCAGAGAGCCCTGGAAAAGCACCTGAGGTACATGGGCCCACGCTACGTGAAAGGTGGGTTTGGAACAACGCAAGTTACGTTGGAACAAAACTTCCAAGTGAATAAGAACAGCTTCATTAGTAATTATAAAGTGGGCTGGCGCAGGGAGGTGCAGGGTTTGAACCTGAGCAGCAGATCAGCCAGCAAGGAATTGTCGATCCAAATTTTCCTAGGCTGGACAAGGAAAGCACAGGGGTAGGACCTTAGAGCGTGGGGTGGGGGAAGAAATAGGATGAAGCTGTGCAGAAGGGGAAAGCTGCCGCAGGAGAACGCTGCCAGAAGAGAGAACATTCCCTGCCCGTGTTCCTTGCAGTGTTTGAAGTCCACGACAGTGACGTGGAGGGCTTGATGCGGAGCCTGCGGGACGAGTCCCAAGCCATGAGCGATGGAGTGGTGCTGCTCCGAGGCCTTCCCTTCAGCTCCACCGAGGAGGACATTGCGGATTTCTTCGCAGGTAACTCAGCCCGCTCTGTGCTCTTCGTTGGCCAGGCATTTACTGCCTTAGGTTGATGCAGTTCCCCAGAGGGATAAAGGCAAAGTAGGTGCAGCCTTGAGCATCTTAAACACCACAAGGAGTTGCCGTTCCCCTCGAAGTCACTCAGGCTGCAGAGTTTCCCTGTACCTCTGACGGTGTGCAGGTCTAACCCCGGATCTGTTCTTGGAGCACTCTGCTTTGGGGCCAGGGGAAGCAAAGGAGAGGGAGTCAGATGCTGTGATCTGACACTGGGTTGCAACCAATGTGAAATTCGGCAAAGCAGAGAAGGAGGAAGTCTTGTATGGTACTTACAGCCCAGGTGGACGCAGTGTGGGTGTTCACATCTGTATGATCAGGAAAGGTGGATCACGTATGCCACTTGAGACTTTGTCCCGTACTCTCTGCTAGAGCAGTCCAGGTGGTTCCTGGCTCCACACAGTGATGATACACAGCACAGAAATTGAAACTCACTGAGTGTGACCTGAGCTTTAAAGAGGTGGGGGAAAAGCTACCATAATAATAACAGAAAATTTCAAGAATATTTGTGCTCTGGACCTCTTTATTGCCTAGAACTTGGATTTACTTATTTCCACAGTTACTTGAAGCCTCAAGTTGATTTAATTTTTTAAATTAAGCTTTCTGTGAAAACCAACTTGAAGTAAATAAATTAGAATTTAAAGAAGATACTTACGTCAGCATGACCAGTTGTTTCAGAACTACTTAACTGCCTGATTAGGCAGTCAAAAACCAGATGAATAAGGAAAAAAGAAGTCTTTCTGAGGTGTAGCACAAGCTTCTGCCAAGGTCAATGCCTCTTTCTCCTCTCCCATCTCTAGGTTTGAAAATCGCAGACATAGCTTTCATTTATCGGGGAGACCGAAGAACAGGAGAAGCTTTTGTGCAGTTTGCAACTCCTGAAATGGCAGCTAAAGCCCTGTTACGGCACAAAGAGTATATGGGAAATAGGTGGGTATTTTCCTGCTGTCCCAGGGGGTAGAACAAGATGCTATGGAGCACCTTATTCCCTTCCTGCCAGCTGGAACAGCTCATCTCACACAGTATTATTAAGGAAAGCAGAGGCGCCTGCAGTGCTCACAGTCTGGGGGAATGCGGGGCCTTTCAGAGAACAGTCTCAGGTGGTTTTAGGTATTCCTGAAGACATTCTCATCCCAGCAGAAATGGATGACAACATTCCGAGGGGGGGACACTGGATAGACACAGGCTGCCCAGCCCCAACTGCCTGGGGGTCCTCTGCCTCCTTCAGACACGTGACCCTCCAAGTTTGCACCAGGTTCCTCTGCACTTTAGGCAGTTTTGTCAGCCAGACCCCTTCCATTCAATCCAGCACCAGACAACGAACAGGTTACCTGGCTTGAGTCCCTTCCCCATGGAGACTGCTGGCCAACACCACACCATCTCCCACCTCTTTGGTTACCGTATCCCTTGATACCAGAAGGTGGTCTGCCCTCCTTCCTTGGGAAGTTCAACCATTTTACTCCAGAGCACTCAGCCCTGTGCCATACACTTACCTCACCAGAGCCTCTCTCCTCTCAAGCAGAAGCACAGACCATTTTTCCAAGCATCACAGTATCATTTAGGTTGGAAAAGGCCTTTAAGATCGTTGTGTCCAAACAGTCACCTCAGCACTGCCCAGCCCTAAACCCTGTCCCTAAGCACCACACCTGCACAGCTTTTAAGAACCTTCAGAGCTGTGCTCAGGAAAGAAAACCCATACAACCAAGACTGCTTTTCCCCTGCTGAGTTTTCTGAGTTCAATAATCTATAAAACTCTCTTTCTGCACCCCACATAATAAAAGATTCCTCCCAACCTTACCCCTTCACCTGCACACTGCTGACTTCCTGCCTTTTATTGCCTTGCTTCCTGTTCCCAGAATGCATTTCTTTCTGTTTGTCCCCTCCCACTCAAAACTACACAGCTGCTCTGTAGGCAGAAATTAATTAACTGAATTAATTAACAGACTTCCCTCCTCTCCTGTAGAGATTAATTCTGAAACGTACTGTTAGTTTTTCCTGTGTCGTGAGGGAACAAGAGCTTTCCTGACTCACCCACCTGAGCTCACACACCTCCATTTCCATGTGATTAGCCAGGAAATGGAGGGGTTTCCAGAACTTGCAGTTGCTCCCGTTCATTCTTCCTGGTTTTATCCAGAACTGGCCTCCAGCAGTGCCCAGTACAGACTGGGGATCTGAGGGGCGGCTGAGCTGTCAGCCTGTTCATGGGGTTACTTCCCCTACTCTGGCTGCTCCCTTTGGGAAGGGAGGAAAGCCCTCTCCCTTGGCTGTCCATATTCCCTTCTTCACCACACTGTTCCTCCAGTGCTGTGGAAGTTGCCTGATACAACACTGCTAGTGCAACCCCATCAATTCCATAGCCATGTGGGAAATCTCAGGGCTCCACTGAAGTATTTCCTGTGACCCTGTGCATCTTCTGGGTCTGCCTGTTCCGTGAGCTGTTTTGGGGCTGGGTGTTGTTTTTAATTCGGGGTTTGTAGAAATAATTCAGTTTGGCAGAAGCGCAGCGAGGGGAAAGCAACTAAATGAATGAATCTTTAGCACGGAATCTTTCCATGCCAGGGCTGTCACCTCAAGTAGCTGAGCAGAGCTGAGGCAGGAAGCATCCTGAGGGTGCTTTATCCAGAGCCTGGGGGCCAGGTGTGCCATGTGCTCTTCCCCTTTGCATTCCAGGTATATAGAAGTGTACGTAAGCAGAAAGCACCAGATGCAAAGGCACATGTCCTATGACAAGCAGCTGATGACCTACTCCAAAATGAGAAGAGAATATGAATCCCTCCCTGAAGACAGGGGATGGAGAGGCATGAGAGGCTCCTATGCCCAGGAGGAAAATAGTGAGTCCCTCCCAGTTGCGGGTGTTCTTCAAGGCCCCTTCATTTCACCCCACGTGTCCACAGCTTTCATGGCAGGGAGGGGGTAACTGCAAGCACTAATGATGGTTTTTCCTTCCGTTCCCCAGGATTGTACAGGGAAGGAATGGAAAACTCCAGGAACGTTTTAGAGCCTGGGAACACCTCAGCAGCAGCACAGCACTGTGTCCGCATGAAGGGTTTCCCTACCCAAGCTAGTGCCCAAGACATAATAAATGTGAGTTACAGTGAGGCTACGGATGAAACGTGGCTTTCATTCCCAGTGCGAACCCTCAGTTAATGGTTGCAGCTGCAGCAACTGCAGGTTGTTGATTTATTTTTGTGTGTTAGTTCTCAGAGCCGTGTGGCTTCGGGTGGAACGTGGGGTACAGGCGCCAGGCAGGGCAGCCGTGGCCTCTGGGGCACAACAGGGATCCTCTCCCCTCCACGGATAAGGAGTGATTAAGGCTTGTTGGGATGTGTTAACACCCATCACTTGGATTACTGTTTCTTTCTCACCGAATTTTCTCCTATTTTCCTCCTTTTCAGTTTTTTGCTCCGCTGAGGCCCACGAGGATCCTGGTGGAATACAACTCCCAGGGAGACGCCACAGGAGAAGCAGAGGTGCATTTTGAGAGCCATGAGGACGCCGTCGCAGCGATGGCAAAGGAGGGGTCACAGATGGGTAAGTCAGGAAAGGAGGCAGGTCCTACCACCCCAGGACTGAAGCTTATCCAGCTGCTGTTACACCCTGTGCAGAGGGATCACCTTAAATGTAGACTTCCAAGTTACAGTGTGCCGTGGGCTTTGCAGAGAAAAGCAAAAAAAAAAAGAAGAAAATGTCACACATGCAAGTGCCTCTCACATGTTTTCCAGAGTGCAGTGCTGTTGAATTATTCCTGAATGAACGTCAAACGGCAAAGGAAAACTGCTAGTGACCACGGCATGGGCTCAGATTTGGTGAGTCTGTCTGTCCTTCTTGGTCTGCTTTTAGCAACATGTGCCTCAGGCTTATGATCTCTGGTACTGGGATTTCAACCAGCCCGAAGGGTAAAGTGTGGGGTGGCTGAAGGGAATATGTCCCACCTGGAGTCTGTGGTACTTTACTACTGCCAAACTGTACTATTCTAATGGAATAGAATTTAAACTGGGAATAAAGTGCAGGGGGGAGAAAGGAAAGCACTAAGCTGCAGCAAGGGAGAGGTTTTTATTTTTCCTGTTCCTTTTTTTCAGGCCAGGTCAACACGTTCCTTGTGTATGAAGGTGAAGATCAGGTACGAGTGTCAGCGCTCAGCAAGGAGGACAAACTGTAAGATCTAGTTTAGCTTTGTGTAAGAGGAGCATGTAATAAATGTGCTGGACTGTGGGGAGTGTTACAAAAGCAGCAGCAGCTGCACTGCAGGAATGGTCAATGGGTGGAGCAGTCCTGGGCTCCAGGTCAAGAACGGTGCATTAATAAACACCAGGATTGCCAACTGACAGCAACTGAGTGATCTGAGTCCTCACAGAGGTGCACGGTGTAGCTCTGAATCCTTTCAGTCCTGCAGCCCAAGTGAAATGGGATGGAAGGACAACTCAGAACACTGGAAATGGATGATCAAGTTTTCTTTATTGTGCGGAACAAAATTAACATCAGAAAACCTGCCCCCCCCATTCCCAACCCCAATGTCCGGGTGTCAGCCCACGCTGGCATCACATGCAGTACCTGAGCACAGAGGGAGCTGGCAGCCTCCAGTGCTGTGCTCTGAAGGGGGCTCAGCCACCTCCCTACTCCAGAGAATTTAATCCTCTGTCTCCAGTTTAATGCTCCCTCTAATAGGGAAATGGCCTGGGTCTCTCTTCTTGGGAGATGAGTCACACTGGGCTTGGATGCAAGAATCTGCACTGGTTTGGATGCGTACAGTGTGTACACAACACAGCGACACTAAATTCAGTGTGTTCTCCATTCATCTCAAATGTGTTGCCCCTTCAGAGAATTTAGGAATTCACCTGAATTCCAGGCTTCTTGTATTTCAACACTGTTTACAACTCCTGTCCTACTTTAAGGGAAGGAAAGGGGTTGGGAAACTGCCACAGGCAGAAAAAAAGAGCAAAAAAAGATTGTAAGTTGGGTGGCTGAACACACCAAGGCCTAGAGGGAACTAGGAGAAAGAATTCCTGGTACAAACCAGCACCAACCACATCAGTAACCTCAGCTCTGAGACACTTTTCCTGCAGTTCCAGCCACTCCAAAGACTAGAATTAACTAGGGTTATTAATTCTCCTCTGAGGAATTAACCACTAAGCCCTAATAACTTCTGTACAAACCCCAATGTATTTGTCACATCAGTGCATCCATTGGCTATGGCCTACGGAACATTCTGTGGTCTGAGACTGCAGGAGGTGCCAGTAGGAAAAGGAGTAAATGCTCCTGTGGCACAAGGAAGCCACCACTGCTCTTTGGAGTAACAAAATTCCTTGAGGGAACAGCAACAAAGAATGATGTAGCAGAACCAGGAAACCTTTCTGAACTGTGTTTGCAATTACACCTTGTGGAAGGTGAAAAGTGTTCCATTTTACTTTGATACAACACGAAGTGAAATGCCAGGTTTATGGCCACAATGTTTCCATGTGCGCAAGGGGGAGAGGTGGATCCAAGTGGCCCTAAACCAGTGTGTGTGATGGGGATTTGGCCCAGCCCCTGAAGCACAGAGGGGGAACAGAACATTCACAGCTTGGTTTGGGGTTTCCCCGTGCAGAGCAAGCCCTTGGCCAGAGCCCTGAGCCAAGGAAATGCAGGTAGAACATGTTCACTAATGCCTCACCTGGCCTGCTCACACTGTGTACCGGGGTCCCAGGGATGAGCCAGGCTGTCCAAGGCAGCTGGGAAAGGAAACAGGATTTCAAGTGCAGCCAGATATGAGGAATACCAACGCTCCAGCTGGTTTCAGGGAGCCTTTGCTCAGCAGCAGTGCACACCCAACACCACACGTGCAAGGGCAAGAACATTCCCAACTTACACGTGCAAACACAGTTCTGACTTGGGCAGGGGCTCCTGAGCCCTGAGACTGCTCCAGCAGACTCTGGGGGCTGCTCCATGTAACATTCCCAATGCAATTCTCCGCAACACAGTCCGATTTTGGTACAGGGAAGGCTCAGACTGTTTTAGTCACAAGAGACTCTAAACACCAAGAAGCTGCTTCCCCCCAACCTCCAAAGCGCACGAGCAAGTGTCTTCACATTCCCCTTGAACAACTCCAGAAACACCCTCAGCTACAACCACTGTCACCCCTCTGCCACCCATTCCCTACAAGGGGCTGCTGGAATACTGCTGGATGAGCTGCTGGTGGCAGGGGTTGCAGACACGCTCTGGGTTGATGCTGGACGGGAGGGGCAGCTCGTGCGCTGAACAGGCTTCACAGAAGGTGCCCCCACAGTTCTTGCAGATGTTCTGGAACGCAGGAACAGAAAGGACAGAAATCAGGGAGAGGTTCAGGACTTGGCAGATCAACCCAGGGAAAAACAAATGGAGCTACAAAGGGAAGAGGCTGCTAAGGGGCAAGAAAACCAAACCACTGAACAAGGCAAAGTAGGACTGTGAAGCCACCAGCATTTAACAAGGTTAAATGTTAAGGGCAGAGTTGTTCTGCAAGGGCTCATTTCTTTGTCCAAGTCACCAATGGGAATCTGCGATTCCAAAACAAAAAGCAGAGGGAAGGCAGTCACCAGGTGTGGATGATGTCAATACTAAGTTACCTTTCTTTGGTTCCGGCTGCTCTCCTCCTGGCAGAGCTGGCACATCTCGGAGTGTCCAGGGCCCAAGAGCTGCTCCTAAACACCAAGGCAAAACCAAAACACTCCTGTGAGGGCTCTGCAGCAACAAGGGGGGAACAAACATCTTCTGCACTGTGAACAAGAGCTGACAGGCAGAAATTCCCAGTGAACAGGACAACACAGGTGGTGTAACATCCAGCGACAGTCAGGTCACTGTGCTTTGCCAGGCACCCAGGGGCAATTAGGAATGGATTTCAGTTCATTGGATATACAGGAACAAAACTAGGAAGGGATATTGCTCACCTGCTCTTCCTGCTTGTTGCTTGGTGACCTACAAGGGAACAATAGTGTCACTTGGAGCAGGGCTTCCATCATCACAGCTTTTAAATAAAATATCCGGGCTACCAGGCTTTACCCTGTTTTTAAAATCCTCCCCCCACATGGATTTTTGGGTAGCACTCCTACGTAAATAGGAAGAACAGGCAAAAAACCTGCAGAATGCCTTCAGGAGATCAGAGGAGAGGGAACATGAACATGGCAAAGACTGTTTAGGTGGTACCAACACAGTTTCAAACTTAGGCCCGCGGAAGGTTTGATGCCTACACATGCTGTGAACAGGCAGCAGTAAAGCACCGTGAGGCCCTGCAGGTAAATCATCATTAGTAAACAGCAGATTTAGATAGAAACGAATTCAAAGGTAAATTAGAGACAGATGGAGCTTCTCCCATCTGAAAGTGCTGATGGCAAGCAACAGAAGCTCTTCCGTCCCTTTGAGAGCTATAGAAAAGCAGCAAAGACTCAAAAAAGGTTGGAAATATTTCTCAGGAAGGGAAGTTGGACCATTCCAAGCTCACCATCAGCACAGCAATCTGAGAAGGGGAAGCAGGACTTTGGAAAGGAGGAGGCAGAAATGAGGTTTGTTTCCTTCCCTACCTGTGTGGCAGGACACTGTTCTCCTCCTCTCTCAGTGCCTGTTTCAGTTTAGCATTTTCTTCCTGGATTTTGACCTTCCCATCCTGCCAAAAGGAAACATTCACCCATCAGGTACACTAGAGAAGACTCCAGTTTCACTCCTGCCACGCTGCAAGGGGACACTTGGCATTGCTATTTCGGGATACCGGTCAGCTCCTCCTGGGCACAGAGGAGTATTGGGGCACCAGTCTCCCCTGAGAGCAGCTCTCTGTGCTTTCCTTTTGCTGTGAACAAAGAGTGGACTGCACATATCAGTGATGAGCTCTCAAACTTGACTGGAATTATGTGCAATATCGGTGAAAAAAGACAGAACTGCATCCCAGGGAGCCCAGTGAAGGCAACTCAAGTGTGGCAGTACATGGCAACTGTGGAAATCATCTGTTACTGCATAGTTCACATCGTTACAACTGTAACCGCCTGGTCAATGCGTGTAAAAACCCCTCCACAGCTCCTGGGGCTGTGGCACATGAACACCACCCATTTATTGCCTGAGAAAGCTCAGGAAAAGCAAACGAGCCAAGTGAAACCGTACCTCAAACCTGAGCCAAAAGCCCACGTCTCATTACCTGTCTTAGCCAGTTCTTTGGCCCTTTTTTGTTTTCTTGGCTGCGCTGCTGACTGTGGGACCATCTGTCTCTTTCCCGCCTCAGTTCCAGTTCTAGGTGGTTCCTGGAATATTGAGGAGGAATCGTGATTAAAGGATGCTTTGGGGACACTTGGCACTGAGAGCTGATGAAGTGTTGAACCCTCTCTTCACACCCCTGACTCAAGAGCTGAAAGCTGCCTCTTGGAATCCCAAGCTGTCTTGCAGTGTGTTAAGCCGCAACACGTCAGGATGGCAAATCTCCAAGTCCTTCATGTAATTCTGGCACAACCTGGCATCCAGCTGATACAAAACCAGACTCATTTGCCTGTGTCCGCCTAAGCTCACCCACAGGCACCCAGGACCAAAGCCATTTGCTGGTTGCCTGAGCAGCCTGTGCAGCTTTGTGAAAAGGGAAACAAGGAGCTGGGCCAGGAGAGGGAGAGAGGACCACCCCCAGTTTATCCAGCAATGCTCCCACAGAATTCATCCTGGTGACCTTGCAACAAGCCGCAGATGCGTCACGGCTGCAGGAGGAGACGCTCTTCTATTTTAAGGAAAGAGGATTTGTCTGTGTCCCTGACACTGCTCAAGTGATGACACTGCAGGGGAAAATGGGATGGCTCTTGACAAGGTCTCTCCGTTTGGCTTCCAGCAAAAACAAGAGCAGTTTCACCAGGGAAAAAGTACAAATCACAGCAGTGTGCGTCAAACTGACAACCAGGATTACTGCCCTTGCTCCAGACTCTTCAGTGGCTGCTCTAGGCAGAGGTTTGGCTGCTCCATCCCTGCCCATAGTAAGTGTTAGATTCCAAATCATCACAGAAACATTTGAATTGGAAAGGACCTTACATAGCTCATTCCACCCACTGCCACGGGCAGGGTCACATTCCACTAGACCCTGTTCCAAACCTGGCCTTGGACACTTCCAGGGATGGGGCATCCACAACTATTCCAGGCAGCCTATGCCAGTGCCTAAATAATGGGCTTTTTCAAAGGCTTTTCCTCCTGGGGGTTACTCCTGTTGGCATCTAGCCTGTCACTTGCCTCACTCCCACTCCATCCCCCTGCTTCCCTGTGCCATCACCCTTCCTGCTCTCCACTAGACACAGCAAGAACAGCCCAGGAAAGAGGTTGGAAAAGGATCTCTTCACCGCTGCCTGGAGAGCTCTTCCACTTCCAGCTGGAGGCTGTTGATTTTGTCCCCAAACTCCTGCTTGAAGAGCCGGTTGTCCTGCTGGGCCAGCTGCCGCTCCTTCTCTGCCTGTCGCAATCTGGATTTGAGCCACATGAACTTGTGATAAAAAACAAAAGCCATGGTGGGGAGGAAGACTGAGTTTAACCAACAAATAAAAAACCCAGTGAAAAGGTAAAGCCAAAACAAAACAAACAAAAAAAAGGAATGGTAAAAACAATGGAAAGGAGAAAGAAAGTTCAAAGCAAAGCAAAATGGGAGGTGAACCAGGCAGAAACTCTCATTTTCCATAGTTTTTATTTTATCACTACAGTTAACAGCCATTAGATGAGAAACAGAAACACCACTTTTATCCAGATCCAAAGCAAACCTCAAGTACACAGAATTTAAAGTCCAATTGGATTTTAATGTACGTTACATTTCAGCTTTGCACAGGTAACTGGAACTTGCAACATAGGTTATAGCTACTCTATTGAGAATTAGTGCAGGTTCCTGGTCTCCCACGGATTGACACTCGGCTCAAGCGCCAGGCATCGGTACAGCAACACATTCCCACTCCGGGCCCGACATCAGAAACAGCCAGATCCTTAATTCTGTTTGGTTTCAGTGTTACTGACACCAACCCCACCAGCCCAAGCCCCTGTTCCTACAGCAGAACTGTGGGAAGGGGCAGGGGGGGAGGCTCCCTGTCCTAACAGGCTGTTTGGATACCTTGATCAAAGCTTCCACCTTTTCCTCAGGATTATTTTTTTCTCCAGGCAGTTAGGAGTCTGTAGCAGCAGGTTACTGAAGGGTGAGTTTATAGGTTCAAGCATGCAGCTCGGGCACGGCAGGGAGGTTTCCAACAGGGCTGGCCCAGTGCCTGTGCTGGGAGCCCACAGAATAAGCCACGTGGTGGCCCACGCTCACATCCCGGGGGACCAGGCTGAACCCCATGGAATTCTGACCACACCAGCGAGGACCAAGGTGTTCCCTCCCCACTTGTTTCAGTCATGTTTGCCACCCACTGCCCCCAGGAGTGCCATCCCACAGGACAAAGAGAGAACTGGCACCAAAGAATTACTACAGGCGTCTCACCAGAGCAAAAAACCCTTATTTAACATGGAACCCCCCCCAAATCTGATCTTCCAAATGAAAGAATGTCTCTAGGAGTGCTTCTAACCTAAAGCTCATGAGAGACCAGCACAGGGATTTCTGTGATTGGAGTATATTAGTTCATAATAGTCCAAGCTACAGTTACTTCAGCTTTTGCACCGGGGTGTTAAATTGGCAATTATTTCTCTTACTGAGAGCTGATTCCAGGCTTTAGCTGTTCCTCCTTTAGCAAATTCCATTTGTATTGAGCAAGGCAAACTCAGAAGGAAATGAAACAAGTGTAAAAGGCCAGTCTTCCCTTTCAACCACCAACTACTCAGACAAGGAAAGGGCAAGGACCAAATTACCATCTCCATTCCCCATCGCTGCACATTGGGTTCTTTTCCTCTTTATTGGTGTGGGTTTGTTTCCTTTAAACAAAGGTCAGATTATTTTTCATAGAACATGTAACTTCCCCTTCTAAGAAGGGGAGACACCTCCCAAAACACCTCTCCTCAGCTTCCTTAGCTTGGGAAGGACCGCGGGGTCTGTCTGGAGGGATTCCTGGCAGAGGTAGAAGCAATGCGAAGAGAAGGAGGTTTCCACTGAACTTACCACTCTATCGTGTTACTCTAAGACACCTATAGCTACTAATTCTGGACACATGAAGTTTAAAGGAAGAAGGATAAAGTCCCCACCCTCCCACCACGTCCCTAAGGCAGGATCCAGGCAAGCTGGTTAGGGGAGGGCCGGTCCTCGCCGTGACGGGCCATCGCGTCCTGCCCGCTTGTCTCGGACTCGGGGCTGAACCCACAGAACAGAAGTGAACAGGAAACGGCTTGGGGCACACACACAACTACTGTCAACAACTTCCAGGGATGCATTTTCTCATCTACTTCACAAAAAAGGGCAACACAGAAAACGAGTTGACTCTCCCGAGCTGGCCAACGTGATCCCGGCTGAGCCGCGCACACGCCGAGGGCTCGTGCTGCTGTACGGGGTGTGCACCAGCAGGTGGGCAGAGCCACGGATCTCCCACTCCCGGTGCCTTCCTGGGGTGTTTATTGGCCAACTCATTTGGTACTTGAACATAGGTTAAATGGCAAAGTTTGGGATTTTTATACCCGACTCTAAATCTCGGCAGAAAAACTCACTGATATTAAAAACTCAGCAAATTCCAAATCAACTTTAGGTGACAATTAACATTTTAACAGTTGCTTTTAGCAATTTTCAAGCTCTCCCCTCGTGAATGAGTTCTGATGTCAGAGCTATGAGGTGGCCAGACAAAAATGTCTAATGATGCTTCTGGATCAGTTTGTTTGCTGCACTATTTAAGGTTTTTGCCTGTTTCACCAAATCCTTTTCACTGTATAAATAAGTCAGAATGAGGATGATGAGAAAACAGAAAAATAATAACAGCAAGAGAAAAAGAGCAAATCAATTAGCTGAGTCGGTACCATAACACACTTTCAAATAGAGACTTTCTACAAACACTTGTTGATCCAGAGCCATTCCCAATATAAACCCTCAAATGAGAGCACTAATGCCGTGCAGTGCCCTGCTCATTCACCAGGTCCCAGCCATGCTGTTGAGAGCTGTGCCAGGCTGCCCCCTCACCTCCTCCCTTCACTTTCACAGGAGTACTTCTGCCAAGCTCACATTGCTCAGGATCATCAAGAGAATGGTTCAACTGGGGGGATTTTATCCAAAATCAGAGATCTGGAACACCCAAGCCCCTTCGAGCCTGGCTACTGCTGCAGGCTTGGCTTTCCTGCTCTTAGTGCTCTCCTCAGGCACCTCCATCCAGCAGAGCACTTGCACTCTCCCCTGGCCCATTCTGGGTCCCTGAGACACCCCCACTAAAGTTCACAGCCTTTGATCATGGTCCCAGTCTCCTGCTTTACCTTTGTTCCAGCTGTTTGATGGTGGCAGCCATCTGATTTGTTTTCTCTTCCAAGCGGCTGTTTAATTCACTCTTCTGTTTCACTCCCATGTCTGAACTCTGGGGAAAGGAGCAGTAAATGCCAAATAAACCCCAATAAATCATTTAGGACATGAAACAACAGAGCGAGGGCAAAGAGGCAGGAAAAGGTGCTCAAAAAGCAAATGGCCAGGTCAGTATCGTGAGGGCAAATGTCTTGCCATACAGGTGCAGGCTCCATCTGGACCCCAAAACAGGGCAATGCCATCATCCATGAAGCTTCCTGGATATGAGTAATCCATAATGCAGTGTCTGCTATTATCATTTAATATCTCAATATCATTCAACTGTTTTGCATCAAGCCATTGGCCTAAGAAGAGCAAAGCAACTCTTTACTGTTCACACCATAAAACCAATACAAGGTGCTTTCCCCAGTCTCATGCCCACATTTCTGGATCATCATTAATTTTTCTCCAGAAGAAATGTCCCTTTCCTTTAACCTCCACCACACTCCAGTGTTCTTGCAGCAGGACACAAGTGTGCACAGCCTGTGACCTTTCCACACCCAGCACCCTTTCAACAGGCAGGAGGAGGAGAAGCACAAGAGCTCTCACTTTTATCTGGAATCCCCTGCATTTCACTACTTCCCTACCTGCAGCTTGAAGGACAGTTCATGCTTTAGGGCCCTGAGATCGTCCAGCTGCTGTCTGAGTGCCACCAGCGCATCCTGCTTCTCACAAACATCCTTCTCCAGCATCTTCATGGCCAGCTCCATCTCCTGCCGCATCCCGATCTGCGCCTCCAGCTCCTTCTCCACGTCCTGGAACACGGGGAGCAGTAACCATTTCCAGGAGCTCCCCTCAGCACCCAGGGAGAAGCACCCTTCACTGGGGCTCCTGCCCACCCTCCATACCCAGGAGTGTGCTGCACTGCCACAGTGTCACAGTCACACCTCTGACACTATTCAGGACAAGAAATCCACACAGAGTCCAATATGAAAACTAAGTGAGCAGCATGACTAGCAGGGAGTCAGGGAATTCTACGTGGGCCCATCTTTGTGGTGGGATAGACTAGGGAAAAGCTGGCAGATGTTATTTCCTGAAAACCTTCTGCTCTGGCATATTTCTCCCCACACTGTATTGAACAGCACAGAGTGGCAGGGTCCCTCTGCAGCCATTTGGGGTGACCCTCGAGCCCCCCCAGTCCTCACCAGCCGCAGCTGAGTCTCCTCCTTCAGCTGTTTCCGAGCCTCAGTCAGTGCCTGCCCGTCAGCAGTTCTGTCCTTGGTGACCTGAGGTAACAGACACAGTTCACTTGGCATTATGTACTGTTAACCCTCGCTTTTCCTCAGTTTTGTTTCTCCCCACCACTTGGAAAACCCATTGTGCACCAATTCAGGCCAAACCAGCACAACTACATCCCAGCTGTCCTGCCACCCCCTCCCTGCTGTCCCTGACACCTCGCCCAGTGAGCCACGAGCTCCTGGAGGAAGCTCCCGGCTCCACGCACGCTCACTGCTCCATGCCTACAGCCAGGCAGGGCTCCTTGGGGACAAGGCCCATCTGTTCCCTCTGCACAGGACCCACCTGCAGCCACCCTAATCTACTGTGGGTTTTGTGTGAGATACACCAGGAAATAAAGTGTGTTCCCAACAATGACTCTTTGGTTGAATTCGGGCTGGGCCTGCCCCAAGGCTCAGCAATCTCACACACACACCAACCTTCCGACTGGACTCCAGGATGTAGGAACTTTCTTCCTTAACCCGTTCCATCTCTTCCTGCAGTGTAATGATCCTGTTGTTGGCAACTGCAAGCTGGGAACAGAACACAACAACAGTGACCTATCAAAGATGTACTTGACTGTTTTTTTCCTCTCTAGGGCTCAGAGAAGGATGATTTGGCTGGAATCAGGAGGAGCAGCACACACCACCCTGAGGGACAGGACACTTGGCTCACAGCAACTCCCAGGGAAGACATCACCACAGAGTAACAGATTACTGTAAGTGTACAGTCAAAGGCAAAAGTAACTTCAAAAAACTCCTTCTGACTTTGTAACTCACAACTTACATAAGGCTCAGGGACATTCCAAGGGATCAGCCATGCTATTCTGTGACAAACCCAAACAGAAATCACCCCAGTCCAAGTGTGAGCCCTTGGTACAGCTCAGGCCACACACACACATCGCTGTGACGTGTGACACAGTTCATTAATTACACCCTGGCTGGCACAGCGTGTCCCTGTGTCACCAGAACCCTCACTCTGCACACACTGGCAGACTTCACTGAGCAACTAAATAATCCAACCTCAAAAAATACTGCAGTCACCACTGCCACTTGTGTCCTGGTGTCGTGAAATGAGTGGTTTAAGTTCGTTTAAACAAATCACCAGCAAAGGTAAAGCAATGTCAGAGTGCAGGTAATAAACTAAAAGACACTTAGTCTACCCAGGTGAGACCTCCTCTCACCTGCTTTGTCAGGGAACTGACCCCAGAAGATGTTATTACATCTATGCCATTACTAATAAGCTGCAACACCTATTTTGAATCACAGGTTGTACCTACGTGTCATGTACCAGCTGTTTGTCATGCTCAGACTTAATATTTTATCTATAATGACTTATTTCTTGCAAATTTACATAAACGTATGGTTGTTTTTCCACCTCATGCTCGGTAGCAACAGCCAATGACATTGCTTGGCAGGTGAGTTATTCCAGTTCCATCATTAAACTCCCATCGTTCAGTACACCAGAAATGAGAATGAACTCCCCCCTCCCTTCTTACTACTCCCTGACTCCCAAAGGCCGAAGCATCAGATCATTTTCCATGACACTTACCTCCTCAGTCAGCTTAGTGTTGGATTTTTCCAAGGCATCCACCTTGGCTTGTAGGTTGTTTACTGTAGCACTGTTGAAGAGAAAGAGCCCTAAAGTAATTCCTTCTTTTTTAAAAATCCCCATTTTCTCTTTTCTTCTACAAGATAATAAAGAGCCAACAGATCATGTCTTACCTTAAATGTCTATTGAGTTCTTCTACATAGTTCTTCTGGTCCAAAATAGCAGTTATCTGACCATCTCTGGAAAAAAAGAAACAGGATAACCTGGAATACTTGTATACAAGTTCCCAAGAGAGGGGCAGCAAGACAACTGTGTGTGTGCACCTACCCTTCACTGCCTTTTGTGCTGTTCCCATCTTTCAAATACATGGAGAAATCAATAACTCCAACCTAGAGAAAAAGCAATTTGCACTTTACATTAAACACTTGGTTTCTGAGACAAAACCACTGTCTCCAGTTGGGACAGCTTAGAGTTACCACCTAAGTACCTCCTGCACTAGAGCGAGGATCCGTTATACCAGTAAGCTATGCAAAATTAATGAGCTTTCCAATTTAAAGGAGCAGAACAAAGCCATTAAGTGAATCCCTCATACCTGGGAGTCCAGGTCTTCTCCCTTCATGCAGAAGTTGGCATCGATAACATTCAAGCCCACGAGGAGGCCAGCGATGATGGCACCTTCCTCTTCCATCATCAGCGCGTTGGGCTCGTAAAATTCACTGCAGGGCACGGCAAGAGAGACAAGTGAGTTGGCTTTTCCAAGTCAGGTAGGAATGAAGGGACAAGGTCAGAAATCTACCCAGCGTCAGGCTTTTAGCATGAGACAATGCTGTATCCCCTCTTTGCAAATATTTCACCCCATCACCTCTTTAGAATCAAGATTTTTGTTAATTCTAAGGGATATTTGAGACAGAAGAGACAGTGTTCTTGCTTTAATTCAGAAGCTAAGTAGAAGCTCTGCATTTCACAGATATTACCCCTTCTCAGAAAAAGCACACATATACTGACCATTTGGGTGGCGAAGATGATCAAGATCTTACAAGAGAGCAGAAGTGAACCCAACCTGAGAGCAAGCCCAGCACTGACCTGAGAAGGTCTTTTCTGTTTATCAAGGCCTTCATGTACTCTGAAAGTTTCTTCTGCATCAGAGCCAGGCGAAGCCAAGCTCTTCCTCTGCCCACAGGTGTCCTGCAAAGGCCAGAAACAAACAGGTCCAGACACCCTCCAAGGCACAGTCACCATCAGCTCTAATAGCCCCAGCCTACCTCAAGCATCTCCAAGACAGACATCAGCCTCAAAATTACCTGACCTGTCATGACCTTCCTGTTAATTCCCTTCCTCTGCAGTTTGATTTCATGAACAGTAAAGGCTGTTCCCATGCCTGACACATCAATCCTTCAGTGCTAGCAATAAAGGCACTCTTGTCCATAAGTTCCCATGCACTTAATACAGCAAGAATATATCCTGTCCTCTCCTCCTGCAGATCCTTGGTTAAGAATAGGTAAGCAACGATCCATTTCTATCACAGCAGGTGGCAGATGTATTCCTGAAGGTCGTGTTTGCCTTCCCTTCTCACAATAAAAACCATAGTATATACTCATGTAATAAAAGACTGTACTTACTTCAGCCCTGGGAGATCCTTAACACTTGCTGTAATCTCTGCAGCCTCAGGAACAAGTTTTTCTACTAGTTCTAGAGGTCCCCAAAAGGACTTATTTTGCCCAAGAAAAGTCTTTTTGGCTAGAAAACAAAGAGAGAAAAAATGAGGCTGTTAGGCCCACGCTGACACAACACATTCTCAAACAAGTGAACAAACAGTAGCCAAAAGCTGCAGAAGTCTTCCTCTGGGGCCACTGCTGCTGGGCAGGCATTTAGTATCATGGAATTCCAGAGGGGTTTGGGTGGGAAGGGCCCTGAAGGTATCTGGGTCCACCCCGCTCTGCTTTTCATCTCCAGTTACTACTAGGCAAGGGCAGCACCTAAGAACAGTCTGGTACTCGGCAATCTGAGCTGTGACTCTTGTACAGTTTAACACATGCTCTGCTTTAAAAGCAGCTTCAAGTCATGAGCTGCACACAGCCCAAACCCTCAGCTTTGACAGAGCTATTGAGAAAAGACCTCTGGGTTGCAGTTCCTCTTCCAGCAAGGGAACATGTCCCTAAAGCATGAGGAAGTGCAGAAAAAGGAATCATGAGTTTGCTGAGAGCTTCTTTCATGCCTGATCACTGCGTTACACCCAAGGCGTCTGAACTGCTGTTTCACACATGGCAAGCACCTGCAGCACCAAAACTTTCCCCCTCCCTCAGGTTCTTTTCCCTTCCTGTGGCCTGCCAGGTCCACTGGGATCACAGCAGTGACCCTGCTCAGCCTCTCCTCAATCTCCTGCAGGTTTTTAAACCAAAACTGCAGTTTCTCCCCACAGCCATGACCAACAGCCCCAGGGACTTGTCCCAGGCTGGTTACCTTTGAGGCCATGCTTCAGGCAGTGCTCCATCACCACGAAGAACTGCTGCAGAGGGGCATAGTCCGAGTCCAGCGTCCTGCCCAGATTCAGCGCCGACTCGATCAACCCCTTGATGCTCAGTTTGGCCATGTTCATCAGGTTCATGCGTTCATTAGCCATGAGGTAATTGGGGTCTGTTAAAGAAGGAAGAAAAATTCTATTGAGCAACAAAAGCTATTTTTATTACACAAAACAGCCCATCTTTGTCCTTTTGTTCCTCAGCTTTGAGGACATTTTTGGGGCCATGACACTTTCACACAAGGCACTCTGCAGGCCTTTTGCGGAGAAAAAGCAGCAGCAACTAGTATTGTATGGCCAAAGCTACAATGACATAGGAATAGACAATGTATCACACTGAGGGTGTCTCAGTACTTCAAGTAACTACAGAAGCTACCCATTTCATTAGGAGAGGTTTGGAGCCTAGTGTTAACCCTGTGCTTAACACTGACATGTTATGGCTGTCACTTGTTCCAACTCACATCCCCAGCTAAGAATCCTCCACTTGTGGTTTGTCCTTCCATCTAAAGATCACTATGGACCTGCTCACACTTAATCTAGCAATGTTTCTCTATCCCACCTTGCATTTCTCCCACAATGTGGCTGTAACACTTATCTGTGTCTATAATTCCCACTTATCTCTGTTTTTAATCAACACCACTGGTTTTTACTGTTGATAGTAAGGAGCAGATCTTCATGGCTCCTCTGACAGCTCCTTCTAAATCCCAAAACTCACAGGTCTCCCAAAACTATATTCTTCCTCTACCACATTATAAACATCTAGACCTTTGCACTTACTACACACACCCAATTTTTGAGCCCCAGCTCCCTGGCACAGATAGTTTCATCCCTGTAAGGCCCATTTATCCAGGGCTGCTAGAAAGAGCCACAGACCCTAGAACCAACCTCTACCTTCTCAAGGGAATAAACTACGCCTGGCAGCAGAAACCTAAGGGTACAGATGTAAGCATGAAGCACCTCATCAGCACCCACCAGCCAAAAAGAAAGCCAGGAACGCACCTTACAGAGCCACACCCAAGTGCACATCACTGTGGGCTGTGAAAACTCCACAGCACAGGGAGAGTGCAGGGTGGGGGCAGCTGCGCCATCCAACCCCAATCCCACAGCTCATTTGTTCAGTCTTTGCAAAAACAGGTCAGGACAAGGCCCCTCATCCCCTGGGTTCTCCAGGGTGAAGCAGCACCACACGTCTCCTTCCCTCAACTTCCCTGAAACCACCCCAGGAAGAACCGCCCGGAGTAGCTGAAGGAGAGCAGGTGTGCGCTGGAGCAGGGAGTGCACAGACAGCACCAAGCCAGCTGGAACTGCCATCAACGGACAGCCACGAGCCCAGCTGTGCTCCAGGCCACATCTGCTGCTGGGGACAAATGCCCCCTTGTTCAGAGAAGTGGCAAACACAGCCAGTTATTCCTCTGTCTCCTCCCAACCTCTTCCTGCCAAGGAGCAAAGCCATCAAACCCTCTGAGGGTTTTGGTTTGCTATTTGTGCCCTGTCCAAGCACTGACTGTCCTGGCTCACACCTCACAAAAAGGCTGAGACTGGGCATTCACAACTTATTTCCATTGTTTAGTTTCCAAGTACTCGTGTAGGAATGCAGTGCTCACAGCAGCACTGGACTGAGCAAAGACTTAACTCAGTGAGTGAGCTACTATTTGACGCTGATGGATCTGGCACACTGAGCAGATGACCTGTTCTGGATTTGCAGCCCTTTTATGACCTGCAGTCTAGCTGACAGACACCATCACTGGGAATCCAGAATCAGGGAAACAGTTAGGTATAGTAGTGCAAAATCAGACACAGAGGCCTCCTCCTTCTCACCCTCTCTAATCAGGGTTCCTCACTGGCCAAGGTCTTTGATCAGATGGGCAGCAAGTCAGGCATCCACCGTGACTCTGCCTGGGTAGCAAATCAATCTCTAATGCAGAATTAAAGGAGCTGTGCACAACAGCCACATGGAAAACACCCCTTTGGCTGCCATTATTAACTAATTTGCAATGAAAAATATTTCCGTCATATCACACTAATCAGCGGTTTCTGCCTCATTAGTCTGCTGTGAGTGATCGTGCTCTGCATACGCAGCTTATCCAAGATTCTCATCTTGCAAGCCAATTAACTTAGAGTATGAAAACCCTCTGCCTGGGTTTTCCTACACATCACATGTCATAAACCTCAAAAAGCAAAACCTCAGCCCTTGACCTTTGCCTTTCCACATGGTTTGGGTTTCAAATGAAGGAATCAAACTCTCAAGACACTTTGCTACTTAAATATTGCAGCTCTTACAGAACAGACAGGTTTTCTACCCAGCTGCTTCCTGAAGATGTCTTCAAAAGCACCAAAAAATCCTGTAATTTGTTTAAAAGGTCCAATCTGTACCCAAGAACCTGAAAGTCAAGGCAAAAGTCAGTGCAATATAGGACCTCAAAGGGTTAAGCTGTGACTGCGGTCTCAGTACTTCTGCTGGTGACAATAGATTTTATCATTCCTCAGTGATTTACTCTAAAACAATGAAGAATAAACTAAAATAAAGCTGTAACTTTGATCAAAGGCAGGGAGTGATGAAACACTGGAGAAGCGAATAGGCCTGCTGAAAACAATGCCAATTCATTTGCATTTCAGCAAGGTTCTCCAGGTACTGAATCCATCTTACAGCAAAAGCACCAACTGAAAGCAGCCTGATATTTGGCAAGGCTGCTTTTGTATGACAGGGAAACATATCCCACCTGACAAAGTAAACACAAAAACCAGCATAATATTTTATGGAAAAACAGGAACTCTCAAATCTTTCCCTTAAAGCCTGCCTTGGAGGTGCCCTTGGCCGGGAAGCAGAATGGGCTGTTGTACCAGGAGAGAGGAGAACACTCCGGGTGGCTGAGGAGAAGCTGCTGTGCCTGTGAGGCCGCCAGGCAGAGCCCGGGCACAGAACCAGCACAGCAGTTAAAGGCACCATCCACGGAGGGTGACAGCAAGGGATCAGTGCACTCAGTGCATCAGAACACCAGCCTTTCGTGCTGCAAACACTTGAACCCCAAGCAGCAGCAGTCGTATCTCATCTAGTTACCAATTTGCCTGACCGCTCCCTAAATTGGGCATTCAACTATTTCACATTCCAACCATTTTTAAGAACCAAACAAGAAACACCGTAAATAAAATTCCTTTTTAGTAATGCACAAGTTTTAATGAACATTTTGCATTACAAGTTCTAGAGTCACTTTTGTCAAGCCTTGAGTAGGTAAATATAAATACTTGAGAGAATCTGAATCCTCAGGGTTATTTCTGATTTTTTTTTTTTTAATTCAGCCTCTATATATTTCTGCAACCTTTTATGCTGTGTTTTTATCAGGCTCAGGAAAATACTGCCTCTGAATATATTTAGCAGAAGGCAACTAGCCCTTGTTGATTCACTTTTTCTACTTCCCCTTCAAGTTCAAATAGTAAAACAACCAACTTTGAAACACTGATTTAAGTAACAGAGAGAAAAGGCCAGAAAGGCACAGCTAGTGGCACTGGAAAGGAAAAGTGCATTTTGCACCCAGGCTCAAAGTGACAGGGCAGAAGGCAATGATGGGCACAGACAAGAGGGGTGAGATGTGTGGAACGCACCTTCGGAATCATCGCGCAATTGCTCCACCACATCTGTCAAATCCTCCCAAGAGTCTTTGCAAACAGCAAAAGGAAAGGAAAAGAAAGAAAAATGTCATGCAAGCCGTGATCTAAAGGAAAGATTCAAAATCAAGGTACAAGCAAAGGGTAACTGAAAGGGAGATTTGCATCATACAAGGCTTAATTTAGAGCGGCAAGAGATCTGCAAGTCAAAAGGGTTTATTAGTCTGCACAAAGCAACAGAGCAAAGCATTTTCCTCCCAGAGACTCAGATCAGGCTAGGCTTCAGTAAAGCTGCAGAAGCTTTGTTTCTGCATTAACACAAGCAACGTTTTTGTAAAGCACATCCTAAAATAAAAAGCAACAAAAGCATTATTTTATTTGTAAGATAAAAGCACTGAACTTGAGATATTTCAGCAATGCCAGCTTTTGCTTCAATTTCCTCATACCCAGCCCCAACAGACAAACAGGCACATGTGGGAAGCAGGAACAGGCATGTTCAGGCAAGGTACACACTGAGGTGTTCTAAAGAAGGTCAAACAGAGCTTTAACTCTGCTATGACCATCACCCCAAGTGACAAATCCCTCAGAGGGGACCCAACTGAGCCTGATGTGGTTCACAGGCTTCCTGTTGTCACTGTGATGATGATTCCCCAAGTTTTCCATCAGGGAAGCACCTCTCTCCTAGGCAGGAGGAGGGAGGTATCTTGGAAGAGGATCAGGCAGGACAAGGAAAACTGGTTTCAGCACACCCACTGAGTCCCTGATTTCCAGCCCAGAAAGCCAAACCGGGCAAAGCCCCAGGGGGGGGTCTGACCCCTGAGCATTTTCCACTCCCCACTTACATGCCTGCTCTCCCCAGCACTAATCCGTGATCCGAGGAAGGTCCAAAGCACAGGAAAGGCTCTATCCCCCTTCCCAAGCCAACTGTGCCGAAGTCCTGGGCAAAGTACACCCGGTGCTGGGCCCTCCTCCCTCCCACACAGCCACTGCCAGCCTCCTGTCACAGGAGCAGCAAACAGCCCATCCACCGGCACTGCAGCTAAACAAACAGCAGCGGCCAAATCCCAGGACAGCTAGCAAAGAACTGGGCCCCAAAAGCTGCCTATGCTCCAACTCCACTGCCCAAGAGTCCTCCCATCCTTGGAGACTGCTGTATTCACCGGGCTGAATCTGAACCATCCCTTTTCCTCACAAACCAGGGACTTGAACACATTCCCCTATGGCTAAGCACTGCTGCAAGAGCAACATGCAGTTCCACGAGAGCAATCCCCTCTTGTTTCAAGAACCAATCCCTGATGATGCTCTTCCTGCCCCCCCACGTGCTACATTTATGGCTTCTGGTCTTTCATGACAGGTGTTCCAAGGTTCCTGAGGGTCCACTGAGCCTCTCAGTGGTGGACTGACCTGCCTCCAGTGCTCTCCAGGACCCCACTACACAAATGGGACTCCATGACTTGGATCCAGATGTTGGTCATCCCAGAATCCCTACCTGCACACAGTGAGTGAAGCCAGA